CGTCCTCTGCTGCCCGGACCCTGTCGTGCCTCCTCTGGTATAGAGACGTTCGTTGGTCGCCCCGGGTAAACCGCCGAGCTTCCTCCGCTCTGCCCTCTGGAAAGAGCTTTTCCTCTGCTGGGCCTGCGAGCTCTCTGATGGCTCCTTGGTTGTTGTGCCAGAGCCGCGTTTGGGTCGGGGAAATCACAGCCCCTCACGTTGCGCTCTTGTTCTGTTCCTGATTGTCCTTTTTAGAAGCTGTCTATGTACAAAATTGTGTCTTATTCTGTAGGCTTTAAGATGCGGATGCGCTGGTGAGTTAATTGTTACTTAGTAATCTTAAGGGATGGGGGTGTTTTCCTTGCTGTGGTGGCCTTAACTTGAGTTCAGTTAGATATAGGTAAACATGTAAGTTGTTACATCTGGTCTGAAATCCAATGCCAATGTGCATACTGTGTTTCCTTGCCTCTAATTACTCTTGCTAATTAAGCCTAGAGGCTTGAGCTGAAATTGTGCTCTTACCCTAGCGATTTTTTAAAAATTTTTTTTTTCTAAACACACTGAGAAATCACAGGGGCCCAAGGTAAATGCGTTGATTCCAAGCAGACCGTGGCAAAGGAAGGTGTTGACACTGTTGTGTAGCAGAGAGTGGGTGTAAGGCGCTTGGAAAGTATGTTTGTGCTCCTCGGTGGCTGGGTGCGGAGGTCTGGCTTCTGTGGAACTGCTGCGCTGGCGTGATTTGATTCACCCCGTGAAGGTTCCTGAAGTAAAACTGCTGCTGACCCAGCCTGGGGAACGAGGAAGGGGTGAACTCCTCTCATGTGGTAAGCCAGCACCCTCCCTCTGACAGCCGAGTTGGTACCAGAAACCAGGGCAGTGTAAACATCTCTTCCTTCCTTTTTGTTCTACCCAAAATGTTTCCAGGGACCTTCCTCCGAGTAACACAGATGTCACTGAAATTGAATAAACTACTGCATCCCAGTGTAGTTTTTACTCAAAACATTTTGAGCATTTTCAAGAAGTGATTTTGACCTTTTCTAATTAAGCAGAGATGTTTGCATCAGTTCTGTGGAGGAACATTTCTGCTCAACCGTGATGCATTGCTAGGGAAAGGAGCTGGGAGGGGGCAGAGACCTGAGCTAAAGGTCTTTCCCCAGCCTGCTTTCTGAAGCAGCTGTGTGGATTCAGCTCAGGTCAGACCTTCACATCCCTGAGGCTTGCACTCACCAGGCTGTTGTGTCCTGCCTCTTATTTGCCATTTTGGGTTCCCCCCCATCTGCTGGGGAGTAGTTTCTAGCCCTGCTCTTTGTGTGTAGTGATACAATAGGAAGCAAGATGACAAAGCTTGCCTCAGGGCCTCAACATTTTTAATTAGTAAAATATCTCCCAGCATGTATTACTCACTGGAGAGTGTGAAGGAAAGGGGCTCAGAAGGGAGTTGTGCATCTACCCAGCAGTCAGCGTGAAAGTTATTGTAAATTCTGTGCCATGTTCAGCTCCTGAGAGTGTAGCTTTGGTGTGGGGGCTGTGGCCTGTTGCAGAACACTTTTTCAGCCTGCCTGTCAAGGTTTGAGCGTTCCGTTTACCAGTGTCTGTGAGAAAATTCTCATTAAGTAAGAGGAGCAGGCTACTGCTGTGCTTGAAGCTCTGCAGGTACTGGAAAGCTTTGTGGGTCAGATCCAAACATCTATCCAATTTATTCTGTGTAGTCCAGGCTTGGACCTCTACCCTTGGGAGTACGTCAGGGTCGGAGCCCTGCTGCATGAGCCTCGCCGAGCCGAGCCTGGAGGCACCATTGGTCAAGTGTCTTTGTTTTTTTGTGCTTGTAGAGCTGGAGCAGAGCATGGAGCCCTTCTCCCTGCCAGAACCAGGCCTTCCTGAAGGGAAGAGCTCATCCGTGCCACAGAGAACCCACCATGTGCTGGTGGGCGTGACTGGAAGCGGGGCTGCCATGAAGCTGCCTCTCCTCGTCGCTGAACTGCTGAAAATCACTGGGGTGAGTAAAGCTATTGTAAAGTTGGTGTTACTCTGTTCTGCTTTTTGAGAAGAGATTACACAGCTTTTGTTGGAATTAAAAGTTCCTTCTGGCTTTGAGCCCTTTGGTTGGAAAATGTGCTGAGGGAGGATTTCTCCTTTTTTTAAAAAAAAACAATGAGTAGTCTTTGCTATCATTTCATGCTTCCCTCCACTTAAGAGTTATAATTGCATCAGGCTTAAAGAGTAGTAACTCTTCCTGGGTATTTCCACAGACAGACCTTGAGATTTTTGAATATTGTACTATTGTTCAGCTCAGCATAATTCTTTCCAAAATGAAGGGAACCTAGATCTTCTAAAAACAGAAACAGAAAATACAAGCTGCTATCTGTGCCCGTGCCATATTTTTTTACTAGGTTTATGGTCTGGAGTAACAGAGGTGTCCAGCAGAGGCCACTCATGACTAGAGTCAGGAGGGAAACGTGTCAACTTTTGCTGTAGAATAAAGTTTGAGGGTAACGTAGGAAAAACTTCTGCTTCTAAAAGACAAAGCAAATGTTCTGGAGCACTGAAATGAAAAAGCGACATGAGCAAGAGGGTGCGCTTCAATATGTTGGTTAGATTGCTCAATGAATATCCTTCCGAATGATTTTGGGAGGCTTTACCTTAGCACAGAAGCGGTGCAGTCCCTGAGTAAGTCTGACTTAGCTGGTTGATGTCAGTATCCAAGCTGGAAGGGGTGCTGGAGTGTGGTGAGGTGCTGGGAAGCTGGGCTAGTGCTGTGGGTTGCAGAGAGGGCCTCAGCTAAATTACAGGCACAAGCCTGTCACATCAGTTTCTTTGCTGCTGAAACAGAACTTTAAAAAGCTGGGCAGGAGCTGAGGAAGGCTTTGATACCCACGGAGATGTGGTCAGAGACTTGAAACCAGAGCGGTTAGTTTAAGCTGATGTTTTGGCTCAACCAGTCCCCGGTGAACAACTTGGCAGTGTGATTTTGCACTCATTAAACTACGACATCTCCTTGAGGGTGGTAAAGCTGAGAAAGTGATGGGAAAAAAAACATTCACACACCCTTAACCCCGAGCAGAAAGAGCTGTGAAAGGAGAATCTTTTTAACGTAGACCAGTGATACTGTGTATACACAGGAGAGCAGCTTTGCAGTAAAGTTTATTCTGGAGAATGGGCTTAAGTGGTCCAAGAACTCTGACTAGTCTAAACTGCCTCCAGTAAAGGAGTTTCTGAGCATGGCTAGGCTGCCTTTGAGCAGAGATATGTCCACAGGCAAACAGAGGGTGTGCCAGGTAAAGAGAAAAAACAGTGTAGACTAAAGTAATCTTGAGAACATTGATCTCTTTCCCATGTAGCTGGAGGGACTTGAAGGACTTGCTCAGAACAAGGCAACGGGGAGCCCACCCCAGCAGAAAACCTTAATTAGGGAGAATGTTTAACTAACAGAGCAACTTTCTTAGGGAGTGGTGGAGTCACCACCACTTGAACATCCCTCTGGTATGCTCTAGCTTCTATCAGCTGGATGCAGTACTCAGGAGCCAGCTATTGCCTATTCCTGGGCTTATGCTGGGGAGAAATACATTGGGGTTATTTTTTTAAGAAATGAGATTATTAGGAAGCTACTTAAAAAAAAAAAAAAAAAAAAAAAAAAAAGGCAGGGTACCACTAACAGACATGACTGCTGAAAACTTTCAGCACAGACCTTGCCTACGGTTAGAGGAGAACAGAGCTGCCCCTTCAAATGACACATTGCTCTGTAAAATCACCAGATCAAGGGTACCTCAGGCTGTGAGGCTGACACCTCCACAGAGCCCACGGTGTCTGTCTGTCCGAAACAGTGAGAGGTGCTAGCACCTCCATGGGTGTCACTGCTTGGCTCGAGACAGCTTCCTGTCAGGGCAGGTTACGGTGGAAACAAATCAAGTGATTGCTGTGAATATTATCTTCGTGCTCAAAAGCACTAGAAACACAGCTGGGATTCCATGTTAGGGCCACTTGAAGAAGAGCAAGTGTTTAAGAGGCAACAAACCACATACTGGTGTTACATGCAGCTATATTTTCCCATTACTTTTTCTTCAGGAAACAGGGAAAATTACCAAAGGCTATGATCATAGAATCATTTAGGTTGGAAAAGACCTTTCAGATCATTGAGTCCAACCCCCAGCACTGCCAGGTCCCCACTGACCCATGTCCCTCAGCACCACTTTTGCATGGCTTGGAAACCCCTCCAGGGATGGGGACTCCACCACTGCCCTGGGCTGCCTGGGCCAGGCCTGGATGACATCTGTGGGGAAGAACTTGTTTCTGAGGTCCAACTTAAACCTCCTCTGGGGCAACTTGAGGCCATTTCTTCTTGTCCTGTCACTTTGAAGAGACCAGCCCCTACCCAGCTCCACCCTCTGTGCCGGGAGCTGTTGAGAGCCAGAAGGCCTCCCCTGAGCCTCCTTTGCACTAGGCTCAACAGCCCCAGGTCCTCATAAGACACCTCACCTCCTCTAGACCCTTCCTCAGCTTCGCTGCCCTTCTCTGGACCTGCTCCACCTCCTCAGTGTCCTTCTTGGAGTGTGGGGCCCAAAAGTGACCCCAGGATTTGAGGTAGCTCAGTATTCAAGGTAGTACTTGTGGTATGTTAACCTGGTCTGGGATTCTTTTGCTGCTCCCAGCTCTTATCCTAGTCATGTAGGATGCAGATCATCACCACTGCGTCTTTCCTAGCTGAAGAGATAAGTTAACATGTTTTATCACTTCAGGTGCTGCTGCTGAAGACAGCTTCTTGGAGGCTGGCGGTTTTCGGCATTCTGTTTTAGCAAGAGCTTGCAGACCAACTGCTTCATCTGTTTGGTGCCTCAGGCCCCAGTTTTCTAGCAGGAAGGAGTTGTTGGTGGGGCTGGTTTCTCCCTGTGTCTCTTTTTAACCTCACAGTGGGTTGCACTGTGAACTGCTTGAAGGAGCAGACAGTTTGAAAGAAGCCAAGGAAAAGGGTGATTTTTTCACTGTAATCCATGGCCTGATGTGCACCTTCAACATGATGGGGTTTCCCCAGTGTATACCATATAACTGAAGGTTCCACTGGCCATGTGGAAACCACTGTTTTGGGTGCACAAACCCCTGTGCTGTGAACATACAGAGGTTTTCTGCTTTCTGACACCTCACCTTGATAGGAAGGACAGCGGGAAGACACAACTCCCACTTGCTTCTGGTATTTTTACACCTGGCTGGAGCAAGCCTGATTAACAGAGGTTTAAAAAGTCATATCTGATAGTCTGTAGCTTCCTCCTCACCATCAACACCAGGAGACCATCAAGAGAGGAGCAGAAAGAGATGGAGGTGCCTGGTGTAGTCCATTCGACCAACGAATCGTACTCTGTCTTCCAAAGCCACTCGTTCTGGTGAAGCCTTGTGCAGCAGTGGTGGGCTTGCTTGGTACCAGTGGTGCTGGGCACCAGTGGTGCTGAGCCCCAGCTAACCGTCTTGTCCCTCAGCAGTTCTTCTGATGGCTCAGCACCATGCTTTCTCTTGTCTCCGAGCGTGGGAAGAGCGATCCTGTGAGTTCTCTGCAGGCATCGCAGCCCTTGGCAGCCCTCTGGGCTGTGGTTAAGGGTACCCACTGAGGCAGGATGCTCTCCTACGCCCCTTGGCAGGTGTGCTTGGAGATGAGAGGGTGTCTTTCACAGCACTTTGGTTTGCTCCCTCCGACCGTCCCTTTGAAGTGGTGTGCAGAACTGCATCTCCTTCTGACCTGCTCTGTCCTCTCTGCTGTCCCCGCTGTGACCTGGCCAAGCGTGCCTGTTTGGCAGGGGGTGACTAATCACCTGCCTGCTGTAGGGTGGCGTGGAATGAGTCTTTGGCTCCCCTGAATGCCTGTGGTGCTCTGCCTTTTCAATCGTGAACAGGGGAAGGTCCTCTAAAATTCACACAGCTTTCAAAGTCTTGTTGACTCAAGCTCTGCTCCTCTACCCAGCTTTCTGGGGTTGTCCTCAAGTCTAACTGTTGGTCTTGCTCTTTCTTCTCCGATTAGCTCGAAGTGAAGGTGGTCACTACTGAGAGAGCAAAGCATTTCTACAACATCCAGGAGATCCCCGTCACACTCTACAGCGATGAAGACGAATGGCAGGTGAGTTGTTCTTCCTTTGGAGGCTGCAAGGGCTTCTTGCCTGTCCCCACTAGCCACATGTTCTGTAATTCAAGTAGTTTTGTCATGCACTCGTGGTTTTTGCTTCCAGGAGGCCATGCTTCAGAGAATAAAAGGAGCCTCTCTGGGAGGCTCACTGAGTTGTTCAAGTGCTGCACAGCAATGAGAAGTTTTCCTCCAACTTTCTTTGCAAGAAACCACATTTATTTATTTGTTAATCCTGGGCCAAAACTCCCTTCTTTGTTCTAGTAACATATGCTTTGGAATACAGCTTTCAGAGAGTCTTGTGGTTCAGTGAGATAGGTGGCTAGAAGTCAGAGAGGTTCTCCTGGTGGTGTCTCAGGGGTGTCTGCATCTCTGCTCATGTGCATACGTGGGGGGAACCATTCCAGTAAAGAACAGCTTGGTGTTCAGGGCCAGGAACATCTCTAGACCCTGCAAAATGGCTTTTTCTCTTAAATACACTTTTGCTGACATACTCGGAGAGCCTGTGAGTGTGAAGAGGTTAATGATGTAAACGTCATCCTTTTTTTTGCTTTACATTTTCTCTCTGCTTTGTGGTACCGATTTGAGTACAAGGTGATCCACTCTTTACCAGTTCTCTTGCCAAGGTACTTGCATGTGAACATCACCTTTATGTGGAGGAAGGCATGCTGGTGGCACTGATCAAGAAGCTTTCTGTCTGTTCTAGGAGATTGGTGAAGATCCACTGTGCCCCAGGGTGCTACAGCTCCAGGCAGTTATTTCTGAGGAACTTGGGGCAGGGTGATAGAAGAGGTGCAAATCAGGCTTTGAGGTTTGGAAAGTCAGCACAGAGCTTTTACAACACACTGCTCTGCCAGAAGGGTGGGAAATAAGCCTGCTCAGCATCTGTTGGCGAGACATTTTACTCTGAAAAGAAACCTACAATTTTCAGTGCTTCTAGAAAAACCAGAAGTGAGCGGAGAAGCTGGGAAAGGTGTCAGGAAGCACCAGCTTTCCGGATGCTGTTGTTTTTTGTTGTGGTTTCCAGTGACTCAGAGAAGGAGCAGTTTGTGGCCTGGTGTATCTCTTGCTGGCCTGTGGCTGTGTGTATCCTCTGGGGATTAAGCACCCAACACCGTTGGCTGCTTCTCTTGGCACTTTCCCAGTTAACCGCACACTTTAAAAAAAGTCCAGGTCTCTCTTGAGCAACTTGGAGCTTTTGTGAAAATGGAAATGTTCACTCAAGAGCCAATATTCATTTCAAAGAAATACAAAGCTTATCAATCCCAGGGGTTGCTCAGGAAGTGTGCTCCCTGGTTTGGTCCTGTCTGGTATCAGCTGGCTGGCAGGATGGAGCCGTTTGCTCAGATGTGCTCTGTGTTGAGGGAGCCCTTCTGAACAATTCTGAAGGTGAGGAGTGGTGTGGATGGGAAAAGCTCTTTCGAACTGAAAACTCCAGTTGTTGGGCATGTGATTTGTCTTTGTGGGGAGAGGCTACTCCTTTGCAGAGCCCCGTCTGTTAACTGTACTCCCTAAACGTGGCTGCAGATCTCGCTTGGTGCGAGACCAATGGTGGTTACTAATGTGGGATGGATAAAGTGCCTGTTGTTCATTGTGAGGGTCCAATAATCCCCATCCTGTGTCACCCACAGCTGTGGAGAGGCCGCTCGGACCCAGTGCTGCACATCGAGCTCCGACGCTGGGCTGACCTCATGGTGGTGGCACCTCTTGATGCCAACACGCTGGGGAAGCTCGCCAATGGCATCTGCGACAACCTGCTGGTGCGTAACCAGAGCTCAGCCTGAGAGTTCTCTCACCTCCCGGTGTCAGGCTGGCTGACCTTTCTTTCATGGAAATTCTTCTGCAGCATCGAGAACAGTCAGATTTGCATGTTCTGCTCCCACTTCATATGCTTGTGTCTCTCTCCCTCCAATATCGGCCCCTCATTCCTCCACAAAGTTATTCTTTCCTTCCCTGACCTGCCTCCCTTTGCACCCCTCGGCTCTGTTATTCTCTTCCGTTATTTCCCAATCCCTGCTTTGTGCCTTTCCTGTTTTTTTCTGATGGGTGGTAGCTCTCTTTGCTTCCCTCCACCCTCTCTCTGTCACACATGCATGCATACACGCTTGCACTCACTTTTGAGTTCCTCTCTGTGTTTTTTAGATGCAATCTGGAAAGACACCTGTGAGATCAGATAAAATTGTTTACTTCCTGCTGCCTCACCTTACTGCATAGCACAGAAATTCAAACTTGCTCACACTTACTTACCTTCCAGTTTCAGCTACAGCGGATTTTGCTTGTTCAGGCTTGTTTTTTGGGTATTAAAAGTGCTCTGGCTCAAAGGTTGATCAGAAAGTGTATTAAAAGAGAGCTTGATTCTCTGTTGGGTGGTGGGCACCTTCAGCAGGGCCGAATGCTTTGAGTCCAGTCCAGACCAACTCAGCTGTGCAGGTAAGATGAACTGCCTATAAATGAGCGAAGTGCAACCAGAGCAGCAGCCCTCATTTGTACAAGTAGATCACTGGAGATCTGAGAGAAGTCGGAAGGAGCTGTTGGAGGGACAAGCAATGTGTTGTCCTACTGGGTCTTCTTGGCACTGTAGATGTGTTGGTGGTAGCAGAAGGAAGGGCTCAGGAAGGATGTTAGGGCTGCATGACTTCAGAAACTCCTGCCAGCCTTTTCGGAGAGCCTTGCGGAGGGAAGAGAGAGCTCCAGCAAAGGAAAGCAAGTGCTGGAGGTGCTGGTTGGCAAGTTAGAACAGATTCTAGCAGACTGCTGTGTTGGGAAGGGTTCAAGTCACAGGGGGTGAGAAAGGATGGGCAGGGTTTTCATAAGGACTCTGATCTGAGCAGAGACCCTATGCCTGATTGGGCACTGTTGCTACCTGGGCAGCTCCCTTTGTGTGATTTAAATCAGGGCAAATTGCTGGACATTGCATTAAGAGCAACCGGCATAGATCCTTTTGAGGGGCCAAGGTGATAGTGGGTTATCTGGAAGCTCTGCCTTGCTGAGGAGTCAGATGTGATTCCCCGTAGCACGCAGGAGCTGCTAGATGGTTCATTTTCTGCACCAGCACAGATGTGTTCCTGTTCTCCTCTTCATGTATCCTGGCAGCAGCACTGCTTCCCTCGGGAGGAGTTACGGATCCAGCTGGTGTATCATTTGAAAAAGACTCCTTTGCCAACTTTTTGTGTTTATCTCTACAGCTGGCTTCTCTGAAGCGTTGCCTGGGGATTTCTCTATAGCTGATACGATCTGTGGCCACCCCTCTTCTTCTCTTGGTCTCCCACACGGGCTGGCAGCCTGTATGCATCGTGTTCCAGCTTGGTTTGCTCCAGCAACTGGGCCACTCGTTGGCCCCGAGCCGGAGTAGGATGGACTTTACCCTCTTTGTAGCCTCCCTCATCTTTCTTGCCTGTCAGAGATGAGCTTTTCTGGAATGTGATACAGGCTAGTTATCAGCCCTGCCTGGCAGATTGAGGGTTTTGGTCCTCTAAAGACACACAGGCTGGGAAAGAGCTTTTGTGCAGCAAAGCTGAGAAGGAGTGAGGAAAGACAACCTGTCTCCCAAGAACCTCTGAACCTCTTGGCTTCTCTCGCAGACTTGTGTCATCCGCGCTTGGGATCTGAGCAAACCTCTGCTCTTCTGCCCAGCTATGAATACGGCCATGTGGGAACATCCCATCACAGCTCAGCAGGTGGAGCAGTTGAAAAGCTTTGGCTACACGGAGATCCCCTGTGTGGTGAAGAAACTGGTATGTGGAGATGAAGGTCAGTCCTTTCGCAACTTCAGACTTTTTTCCCTGCACAAGTGCTGCTCTTATCCTTATCCCTGTGCATTCCTTTGCTGTGTGGCCTTCAGGATGTTGAACTGTGGGCAGCAGGCGCTCCCTGCCAAGGTTTATACACAGGAAACAAGCTTTGCCCTGTGCTAGCTGCTAGATGTTATTCTTGTTCATTAATTTTTAAGTAGTCTTAAGAGACCATCGAAGCTTGGCTTTCAAATGAGCCGTTAGATAGGCCCGATATTAAAAGAAATACTCCTTCAAAAAGAGTAGATCAAAGAGAAGGAGGGCGTTGCCATTGGGTGTTATCAGCCTGGGATTGAGGTGACCTGAACAGCTCTCCACCGTGACTGTGGTCTGTTTTCATCCTGCCTCAGTTCCTCTGCTTTTATACGGGGGTAATATCTTATCCGTGGGAGCAGGCAGGGAGGGCAAGTGCAGACGTGGCTGAGGGTGTAGCTGGACAGGCATTTAACATTTGCTGCTGCTGTTTGTTGCCTGGGTTGCTTCTCGGCTTCCTAATCAAGTTTTGATTTGGGGTTTTGACATCAGATTTATCTGTGAAGTGGGGGGGCGGTGGGCTGGGGATAGGGAAAACTTACGCTCCATTTCAGAACACCTGCAGTGCTAAGAAATGCTACTAAAATGGTCTCATCTGTATTTTAGGAGCTGCTTATTTTAGCTTTTGGGAGGTTTTGAGAAGTTTTTTAATACAAGCAGTTTGGATGAATGGATTCGCTCTTTTTTTATCAACATTTCCTTGGCCTATAAAGTGTCACCCCATTCTTGCTGTAATAGCAAATATGCCATTACGTGCACGGTTGTAATCTCATACTTCTGCTTAACACCCCCACCTCCAGCAGGATTTTAACCACTCGGTCAGTTCAATAAATAGCCTGTAGCAAAGACAGGATGTGAAAATGTTCTTTGTTGCTAAATTCTAGGGCTGGCTTAGTCTCTGAGCTCTTGGGTAGGTGCAGTGCTTCTAGAGATTGTTTTTTCTGGAGCTGAAGACTAAGAAATATTTACAGTTAGGTAAGTGTAGTCAAGTAACTCAGGCATCAGTTGAAATATCTTGGACAATTATGCTTCCGCTGGGATCTTAGACCTGATTACATCAAATTTCTTACGTACTTGTAATAACGTTAGGGGAAAACGCCCAAAAGAGCTCGTTCTGCATTTTGGGAGAAGTGGAAGGGCCATCTGGCATAGCTTCTTTGTCCCTTATTTTTTTTTCCCCCCTTCATCTTTTCTAGTATATATCTAAGATCTCTGTTCGTGTAGCGAGCAGCCGAGTGCCTCCCGATGGGTCATTGGCCTTATTCTTGCAGGTTCGTGTACCTGAGGCAGAGCTGTGGTGGTGGTGTCAGCCCTGTTTCACAGCTCCGAGATGCAAAAGGGCCACATGAGTTGACTCACCAGCACAAGTGGATTACAGTTGGATGGTGAACCCGATTTCCACCTTCTGAAGGAGCTTGTAGGAGAGGGATGGGACTCTAGGAGCCGTTTCTTACTCGACTCCACTTGTATTTGTGAGTGACTCCTCTTGTGTTTGTGGGTCAGTTCACAACAGGTTTTTCCTGTTGGCAAACTCCAGGACTTCACTGGTGATATGTAGAAAAATTGTGGCAAAGCAGTTGTGGTTTAACCCCAGCCAGCAGCTCAGCCCCACGCAGCCACTCGCTCGCTTTCCCTCAGTGGGATGGGGGAGAGAAACAGAAAAGCAAAAGTGAGAAAACTCATTAAACCAGTCTAATAATTGAAACAAAAGAAAAAACTGTAATGAAGAGGAAAATAACAAAGAGAAATAAAACCGGCAAATGACAAGTGATGCCAGTGAAAATAATCACTTTCCACCAACCAGCTGATGCCCAGCCAGTCGCTGAGCAGCAGCCCCCAGGTCAACCTCCCTCCTAGTTTTATTGCTGAGCGTGATGTCATATAGGCTGGAATATCCCTATGGTCAGGACACAGGTATCACAGCTGTGTCCCCTCCCAGCTGCTGGGGTGGTGTGGGGAGCAGGAAAGGCCTTGACTCCATGTGAGCTCTGACTGAACAGTGGAACTAAACTATCTCTGTTATCAAGGCTGTTTTCAGCACAAATCCAAAGCACAGCTCCATACCAGCTACTATGAAGAAAGTGAACTCTCTCCTAGCCAAAGCCAGTACAACAGTAGTGGACTTCAGGTCTCTGAAGACCCAAGACAGTCTCCAGCACTGACTGTTTCCCTTTCTTCCCCTCTTTTTCTCACGCCTTTCACCCCAGGGCCTCCTCTTCCACACTCACTTTGGGTTTGTGGGTTTCAACACACAAACTACCACTTGAGTAGCAGGTAGCAAAGCTCAGACATCTGATGCAGCAGAGAAGAAATTCCGTTTGCACCAGTTTGGTCTGCTGACATTGTGGTTTGCCTTGCTGTCAAAGAGGTTTTTCTTCCTCAACCCATGTGGCTGGTCTCACCTGAAATGCGCCAGATCTTGACTGCCACCAAGTTTCTGCATTGCAAGCTTTACCTGGCTGAGTTTTCTTCCTTGGTAAATAGGTGTTTTTAAACATAGAGTCCAGATAAAAGAGGGATAAAATAAATTAAATTTGAGTTGACAATTAATATGTTTCCTTGATTGGATAGTTAAATATAAGCTACCAGCTGTTGGCCTTGATGACATCCAGAAGCCACGATACAAAGTGAGCTTTGAGAGGTGCTGCACCACTGATGGGCCTGCAGCAATTTAAAATGTTTCCAAACTGCTTGTGTCTTCATCATTCTTGGCTGGATTTCTAGAGCCTAGCACACTGTAAGATTTCCACTTGCAGGCATGAGCTTTGCTGTAAGACAGGCTTCTTAGCAAGGCTGTGCTCTGCTAAACCCAAATCCAGCTGTAAATTGCCAAAGACATTGAGAAATTGGGTGGTGGAGGCCCTGGAAATGTTCTCGAAGGGTGTAGCTCTGCCAGACCGCGCAGAGGCAGTTGGAGGATTTCTCTTGTTTAGCAGGAGCTGTCAGCTGCAGTCCGACTCCTCGAGGTTTGGAGATCAGAGGGGCCCAAATTGGCTTGTCCGCAGGATGCATCAGATCTCCTGGGGCTCAGAGGTCCAAAAAAGGATTAGTGGAGAAGAAGCCTTACTTTACAAAGAAACTAGATTTTCTTGACCTTCCAAAAGTGTTGTTCACTGCAAATCATTAGTTGCATCAAGTCGCACCTTCTGTCCTAGACGAGGCTTGGGTGGCTTCCAGCCTTGGAAGCAGACTAGAAAAAAAAAAAGAGGAAAACACTCCCCCCAACCCCCTCTAATTTCTGATGACCGATAAGACATGTATTTGAAATTATTTGAGCAATTAGCCAGCAGGTTGTAAGATAATGACGAGTCCATCGTTTGAATCTTCCGGTGGAGACAGATGCTGGTAGGAGAAGCATCTTTCTGCAACCCTAGGCAAATTCCAGGTGTGAATGGGCCGAGTTCTGAGCTCATTACAGGAGGTTGGACAAGATAAGCTCATGATCCCTGCCCTTAAAATTCTGAACTGAAGTTTAGGAAGTATTTCAGAGGGAAGCAACAGCACAGCATGGATTAGATGTTCCTCTGGCAATTAAAGGAAAAGCTTTTACATTCTGTTCTGTCCAGCACTGAGTCTTCTCCAAGAAGGCCTCCCAAGATCCAAGCTGGTGTGAATCCAGGACAGCTTTCTCTAACGTGTCTCACTGCAGAGTCATGGGAATGGAACGAATTCAGCAAGTCTTTTTTAGGGGCAAAGGCCATTTCAGGAAGACACGGAACACACACAATGTTTAGGCTGGAGAAAGGAGATGAAATAGGTTCTCTTGCTACCCACACACTTTTTTGGGGCACTTTTGCACGCTGCCCCCAAGGGCAGTGTGAGCTAAGATTGTAACTCCCCATGCGGTCAAGGTTTGGGTGCAGACACCTCTGGAGATGATTCAGAACATGAGGTACTTATTAAGGTCATATGAGTTGCCGTTGGAGGTTTCCCTCGACTGACTGTCTGAGGAGCTTGTGCTCCTGCTCAGGCTTCTGACTTCGGAGCCAGGCTACGTTAATGTGAACACTCTTCTCACTTTCCTCCTCTGGTGGCACTTAACCGTGCCATGAAACCCCTGCAGAACCAGGTGGACTTTCTGTTGAGTGAGTCGTGAGGAAACCAGGTAGGGACAGGGGAAGCACATGCCTCCTGCTGTCTCCGTGGCATTTCACCATGTGGTTTTCCTCTTACCCTGCAGGCCGAGGTGCCATGGCAGAAGTGTGGACCATTGTGGAGAGTGTAAAAAGGATCCTTGAAGAACGGGACTTGCCAGTGCAGAGCTGATGATTTGAAGATAAAACCAACAGGAAGCAGGGTCGAGGTGACATGTGCACCTACCGTGTGCCCTTCAACTGAAGGAGGGAAACGGTTTTCTTCCAGCTGGTGCCAAACTGAAATGTGGTACCTCGCTGCAGACGTTCAGAAACCAAAGTCAAGAATGTGCTGCTTTAGTGTGGGAAAATTCTGTGGTATCTCTCAGAGAGGGTGTAACGTTCTGGCAGCCCCTCAGCACCCAGTGTGTCCCACGCGCTCTTCCCCGAGGGAGCTGCTGAAGGCATTGCCACGTAGGTCAGATCCAGGGGCTCCCCAGGAGCTGCTAGAGAGGAGAGCCCTGTGCGAGTCCTGGTGACTTGGGGACGTCCCTGCTCTCCAAAGCCTGCTCCGTAGCTGTGCTGGCCTAAGCTTTCCAGCAGGAGTCACTGTCCAAAAAGCGTTTCCCCTCCAGGAACTGAATAAAAGAGAGCTTTTCACTCTGCCCCTGGAGAACGGCCCCTTGCAGCTGCTTCAGGGGGGTTTGCACCTAACCTAATTTCTAATTCGCATCTGCGTGCAGTTTTTATCAGAGGTGGGGGAAAAAAATTGACTAAGTGAAGCTATCTCATCCCCCGATTAGCCTTTGCCCTTTTGTATCTGTTGACTGGATAGGGCTGCAGATGTCAACTGTGAGCCAAAATGACACCTGCCCCTCTGGGTGCTTCACTCAGGAAATGAGCAAGCTGGGCTCTTGTGGAAAACCAGCGTGGGTTTCCCAAGGGAGCAGGGTCAAGCTTCACCTGTGATGACCGTTTTGGGCTTGAAAATTAACCAATTGGCATGAAAAAATTGGGGAATCCTCTGACCCTGTGGGCCAGACCAGCCAAGGTTCCCTTGGGCCAGCCTTTCTGTAGAAATGTGAGGGGAATGAGAGCAAACCAGGGCTTTGGAACACATCAGTGTCGCAGAGCACTGCTGACCCAGAGAGTTTGTTTTCAACAAGGCTCAGTCAAATTTAAGGCCTTTGGTACAGAATGTGCATCCTGCCTACAAGGGCAACCTTCAGACTGCTGCGCGCGAGGGAAGAGGTTATCGGGGTGTGTTTGCCTCCTTATCGACTGCACACAAATAAAAACCTCTGAACTTTCCCCGTTTTGGCCCTGTCACTGACAGATCCGGGGATTCAGAGCTCCTGGGGGTTGAGTCGGAAGGATCCTCGTGTGAGCAGAGGCCATGGTGGTACCATGGTCGTGAACTTTGCATTTTGCCAGTGAAGTCTTTGCGATGTGACCTGCGTCATTTGCTCCTGTTCCTGGTATGGTGAGAGCTGCTGCCTGTCTGAGGATCTTACTTTCATTGAAGGCAGCACAAGAGATACTTCTTGGTTCCATGAGTTTTGTAGTGAATGCAGTTTCTCCTACTCAGGGAAATACATGCTCTGGCAGTTGTAAGTGTAACTTAACCTTGGGGCTCAACTGTGGCTTTCTTGTGTAGTTGGAACTGCTCATTCTTTTGCCTGGTTTGTGACTTGGCAATGCAGAAAATGGAGCAGTGGGGTTCTTCACACTGGATCAAAACACCATATCCTTGGTAAGGGTGTTCACATGGTACAAGTCTGGTTTGCTCCTGCTTGTGCCATTAAAGGTTCCTCTGCATAATTGCTCTGATTTCTAACTGAAGGCAGGTCATGATAGTGTTACAGGTTGGGATGAACCCGTGCCCAAACCACCCTCCCTTCAGGGCAAAGAGAAGAAACAGTGAAGTTCCTTTTGGGAGGCAGAGGGCTGAGGCAAGAGCAGCTTGGAGCGTCCCCGCCCACAGGGGTAGGTGCGGGCAGCCTGCGGGCAGGAAGGGTTGCCTGCCTGCTCCCTGGGGAAGGGCAGCAGAAAGGGGCCGGGGGAAGCCCTGTCAGCCATCCCACTAGTCCTGCGGTTGCAGGAGGGGACTCTGGGACAGTGCCTCTCCAGGGGGGGATGGGGTGATGAGCAGAGGAACTGATTCACAGGGTCATAGACTCCTTCTGGTTAGAAGAGACCTTTCAGGTCGTTGAGTCCAACTGTTGCCCCAGCACTGCCAGGTCCCCACTGACCCATGTCTCTCAGCACCACATCTCCACGGCTTGGAAAGCCCTCCAGGGATGAGGACTCCACCACTGCCCTAGGCAGCCTGGCACAGGGCTTGGCAACCCTTGTGGGAAAGAAATTGTTCCTCAGCTCCAACCTCAACCTCCTCTAGTGCAGCCTGAGGCTGTTTCCTCTTGTCCTATTGCTTGTTCCTTGAGAGAAGAGCCTGACCGCCACCTGGCTCCAGCCTCCTGTCAGGGAGCTGTGGAGAGCCAGAAGGTCTCCCCTGAGCCTCCTTTGCTCCAGGCTCAGCACCCCCAGGTCCCTCAGCTGCTCCTCACTACACATGGGCTCTAGACCCTTCCCCAGCAGTTTCATTGCCCTTCTCTGGCCACACTCCAGCCCCTCAAGGTCCTTCTTGGTGTGAGGGGCCCAATACTGACCCGAGGATTCAAGGGGTGGCCTCCCTAGTGCCAAGTGCAAGGGAATGGTCCCTGCCCTAGTCCTGTTGGCCACTCTGGTGCTGGTATGAGCCAGGATGCCGTTGGCCACCTTCTCTTCAAAACCAGTGCTTTGTGCAGGCTCGGTAAACAGGCAATGCCAGCCTTGCCAGGGTGGCCGGGCTCCACTGAACCATTGAGGGGTCCAACACCAGGATGGATTCCTGGGGGCAGCCACGCTGACAGCTCCATCCCTTGCAGTTCTGTGTGTGGTTCAGGCTCGTGGGGGAGGCCCAACATGCTGGCCATATGCTTTTTCTTTTCCTTCAGCTCTTCTTTTTGTTTCACTTTGCCGTGCAGCTCTCTGATGACCGAGGCAGCATCCCCGTGAAACCTGCCGCGTTGCAATTTCATTCATGCTGCTCAAAACTGTATCTCTCAGCACTGGCTTGGGAGCAATAAAGAGCTGGGACAAAAGCTCAGCTAAGGCAGCAACCCTCCTCCTCTTTTCCTGTGCTTAGACCTGGGCTCAGCTGAGACTCTGAGCATCCAGCTGCTTCCCTTCCACCCCAAACTTGATGTGATCTCTTTGCTGCTTGGCTTCGTGGGGTGCTGGAGAAGGATGGGGATGCCATGTGCTGCTTCACATCTGCACGTTCCGACTCTGAGCGTGAGGCTTTGGTCAGGAGATGGCTCTCTGTATGATGAGTCCCTCTGCTGTCTCTTGGGCTGGGAGATGGGTCATCCCACACCTGTCCCATCCATCCCACACCTTTGCCCTGGGTGCCTGCAGCAAGGCGAACAAACAGACTGCTGGAAAAAAGCCAAGTTTCAAAAAAGCCAAAACCTCCTTGCTTTAAGACTTTTAAGCAGTCTCCGTGCCGTGCCTGGGTCCGAGAGCCCGCGTGCAGCGGCTTCACACCCCGGGGCTCCGGATTTGACACCTGCCTGCAGCGACCTGGGGTTGGCACCTCGGCGGGGCCCTCGCCCGCCCCGGCTCTTGGGAAGCGGGGGGCAGCAGGAAGCGGTTTGCGCTCCCCCCGACCGCAGTGGGGCCGGCTGCTGCCCGAGGGCGAGGGCTGCCAGAGGGTGACTCACGGGTGGTGGGAGGTGAGAACCTGGCCGCGCTCGCACGGCTGGGCTTCCCTTGTTAAAAATGCCCAAATAGAGCCCCGAGAAGCGAATCCTCCCTCTGTGAGGTTTATGCAGTGGTGGCAAGCCCGGTCGCTGGTGATGACGAGAGCACACGGCTACGGCAGTGTGGGGAATCCTGCTGTGTTCCTGCAAAACCAGACCTTGGTGAGCTGTGGATTCACCAGCGATGAAGCCCCTGGCCCTGCCCGACTCCCCCTCCTTAGCCCAGCATCTCGCACCCTCTTTTTTTCCCCACTTTTTTTAGGGGAAATGGGATGTGGCTTCCAGGTCTCGGCCTCCAAACCATTGCCAGTAGCAAAGGAGCTGCTGATGCACCTATTTGTGCTGTAGAAAGCTGCCTTTGGGTTTTATTCTGCCCACCCCGAGCTTGCGGCGGGTCCGTTTGAAGCCACCCCTGTGGCAGGGGGCTGAGAGAGATGCAGGGTGAGCACCAGGTATGGGAGAGGTCACTGTAAAATCATATATATTTGATTTTAACCTGCCCAGTGGTGAGTCTCTTCCTAGCTTAAACCCAGGGCAGTAAATCCTGTTCCCTGCAAGGCTCTGGTAACATTCAGTGGGTCTTGTGGCCTAGCGGGGGCCATTGGTAGCCCCGAGGACCTCAGAGGGATCAGAGATCCTGTATCTCTGTGTTTTGCTAGCTGTATCTCTGTCAGGGAGACAGTTTGAGGTTTTCAGATTCAATCTCCTCTCTGCTGGCTCATTGAGGCTCCTGTTTTGCTTCCTCTTGGACATCAGGTGCTTTGGCTGCCAGCAGAGCTGGAGGAAGGGATCTGAAGGGGACGCGGGGGTCCAAGACTCTGCCCTCGTGGTTTTACTTTTCCACCTGCATCAGTTTTTCTGCCTTGCCAGCCCTCCTGGCTCAGGAGACATTAGAAAGCAGCCGAGCCGCCCCAACCTGCGATAAGGCCGGTGCCAAAAGACCCGGCACCGCTCGGCACAGACTCGTTGGCACCAACTACTCTGATAGCTTGGCTGCGGCGGTGACAACCTTGCAATTAAAACCTGCAGGTGCAGTGTTCATGCCCTGGCCAGCAACCTCGCTGGATAGTTTAAAAATTGTTTCCAGGAGTAATTGAGCTTAATTAGAAGGTTGAATTCCCCGGGGCTGTGCTGATGAGGATTTCCGTCCTTGTTGGGAGTCATGCAGGGGCTGAGGATGCTTGGAGATGCATGGGACGGGGAGAGAAGTAATCCAATGGGGGCAGTTGCTTGCTAGGTCTTGCCCTGTTTGGGTTTTTTTGTTTTTGGGATGTCACATTGCCCTTCAGATGGATGCTGGGATTTGCCGAGCCAACAGCAGAGGTAGCCAGAAAATGCCCCCCCCCATCCTCTCTCCTGCGGCGCCGGTGAGCGTGCCAGGACAGGCAGCGTCTTCC